CTCTCTCTTTAAAAAAAAAAATTGAATAGGACTGGGACCAAGTACAGTGGCTCACATCTTTAATCCCATCTACTAGGGAGGCTAAGGAGAATTGTAAGTTCAAGGCCAGCCTCGGCAATTAAGCAAAACCCTATCTCTAAAAAGGCTGGGGGTATAGTTCAGTGGTTCTAGGTTTAATCCCCAGCACATTTTTTTTTAAATTGAGGGGCTGAAGATGACCACTTTCCTAGCATGTATGTGGACCTGGGTTCAATCCCTATCACACAACAAAAAGTATATTTTTTTTTCTAAATAAGGGCTGGGGTTGTAGCTCAGTACTAGGTTGCTTGTCTAGCACATGTTAGGCACTGGGTTTGATCCTCCACTGTATAATATAAATCAAATGAAAATATGTGTCCATCTACATCTTGAAAAATGATAAAAAAATTGAAACATCAAATCGCAATGGGGAAAGATATTTACAATCCTTACATATAGCACCTTTAATATTTAAAAGGCCCTAATAGCTATGTGCGGTTGCAAACACCTAAAATCCCAGTGACTCAGGAGGCTGGGGCAGGAGGATCACAGATTTGAGGCCAGCCTCAGCAATTTAGCAAGACTGTTTCAAAAAAAATTTTTTTAAACATATATATATATATGTGTGTGTGTGTGTATATATATATATATATACACATATATATTTAATTGTAGTTGGACACAATACCTTTATTTTTATGTGGTTCTGAGGATGGAATGCAGTGCCTTGCACATGCTAGGTGAGTGCTCTACTGCTGAGCCACAAAGCCAGCCCCTCCAAAAAAATTTTTATAAAGGACTGCAGGTGTAGCTTAGTGGTAAAGTACCCCTGGGTTCGATCCCTGGTACTTAAGTAAATAAAAGGTCCTATAAATCAATAAGGAAACAAAAATATGAAAATGGCCAGTGAGCACATGAAAAGATGCTGGTTGGAGAAACTTAAAAAAAATTGACAATACTAAGTTTTTGGAATGACATGCAACAATTTGAAACCAGGTACAATTGTACCAGAAACAAATGTACCATTGGAATACTAGGAATATAGGAGGTGCAGCCCCTGTGGAAAACTGTTAGATAGTATTTACTAAAGTGTGTGTATTCCAATTCCACTCCTAAGAAATGAATACTAGAAAGGACTGGACCTCTTGGTTGCCATCTTCCTGGCAATAGTCATGATACAGTTGCTGTTGCCCATACATCCACAAAGTTGGCCATAGGTGTGCACATGGCTAATAGTTTGAGTTGTTTGTATTGTTGGTTCTACATAACACTGAGTATACCTGCCGTTTGTTACCTCTCAAAAATTATTACTTCTTCATTTTTGGTACCGGGGATTGAACTCAGGGGCACTCCACCACTGAGCCCCATCCCCAGCCCTATTTTGTATTTTATTTAGAGACAGGGTCTCACTGAGTTGCTTAGCACCTCGCTGTTGCTGAGGCTGGCTTTGAACTCTTGATTCTCTTTCCTCAGCCTCCTGAGCTGCTGGGATTACTGGCGTGCATCACTGTGCCCAGCATCTTAACTGTTCTGAAGAGTACACTTCAGTGACAACTTTTTTCATCTTTCCAAATTAACTGACTTCCCTTAAACCCTAATGCCCCTAACTTGTGGTTTTCCTGCCTCAGCCTCCTGAGCCACTAGGATTATAGGCATGTGCTACCATGCCTGGCAAAATTACTATTTTTGAAATTAAGATTTTTATGGATATTGTATGTTCATAGTAGCACCCCATTAAATCGTGGTCTATTCACAGTAGAGAACTACACAGCAATAAAATGAGCATCCTGTAATTATACAAAATAACACCTTAACAGTTAATAAACTGAACATATGTTTTATGCATTTTTCTGAAAGTTACTAAAAAAAAATATTAGCAGCTTAGTGAACAATGATTATAGTAAAAGAAAAATGGGAACTTTCTTCTTTTCCACGATGCTGGGAATTGAACACATCATCATCACTTGCTAGGTAAGCACTCTGCCATGGAACTATACACCCAGCTCCTGAAAACATTTATCTTTGCTTAAAATTTCCTTTGTCTTTGACTTTCAGTTAGCTGGCAAGCTGATACAACTTAGAAGCTGCTGCCTGTCAGGAAAAACAGAACTTGAGTCGATGAACTTGTATTCAAACATCAGCAAGACTTGAACAGACAAGCCTGGTGTGGAAATCTACAATAACCTCCACAAGGACAACAAAGACAGAACTAGTGCAGAAGTCTGCTGCAATAGAGTAGAACTTTCTTGAACTTGCGTGAGACCTACCTCTTCTCTAAACCTCTCTCGGGGTGTCCAGAACTTCCCCTGAAAGCAGGAATTTTACCTGGATAGATGTCAGGTGTATCCAATGTACTTGATGGAGGAAACTATTACATCTTTATTTTCAATAAAACTGAAATTTAGTTTTACTCCCAGTTATGAATGCTGCCCACAAATCACAACAGTAAAAGTGGTACCTGCAATTTTCCCATCAATGCAAGTCAGTTATTTTTTGTTTCATTACAGTTGTTACAGACATCTTAAAATATTATTCACATTCTTTACCACTTTGGATGACAACAGATCTTATAATTTGATGTTCTAATAAAAATCCAGTTGTTACATCCCAATTTTTTTCTGTTTAATATATAGTGATAATTGTATTTCAGTAGAATTGATTGTAATATTTTGTGTGTGTGCAAGCACACGTGCACATTTGCTTTAAATATTTAAGAGCTGGGGGTATAGCTCACTGGTAGAGTGCTTGCCTAACATAGGCAATGCCCAGGATTCCATCCCTAATGCTGCCAAAAAAAAAAAAAAAAAAAAAACCTCTAAGCCCAGTACAGTGGCACACATACAGTCCCTATACTTGGGAGGCTGAGGTAGGAGGAATACTTGAGCCCAGGAGTTTGAGGCCAGACCAGGCAAATATAGCAAGACTCCATCTCAAGAAAAATCTGTGGAAGGGATCCATAGATTTGATGAGCTGTTATAGGGTTTCCAAAATAAATGTTTAAGATTCAAAACCCTTCTCTTACTGGGCATGGTGGCACATGCCTATAATCCCAGCAGCTTAGGAGGCTGAAGCAGGAGGATCACAAGTTCAAAGCCAGCCTCTGCAACTTAGTGAGGCCCTAAGCAACTCAGTGAGACATCCTGTCTCTAAATAAAATATAAAAGGGCTGGGCATGTGGCTTAAATGCCCCTGGTTGAGTACCCCTGGGCTCAATTCCTGGTACCAAAAAACAAAGACCTCTCTTAAGCTGAGGCAGAAGAATCACAAGTTTGAGGCCAGTCTTGGCAATTTATTAAGACCATATCAAAAAAGGGCTGAAGATGTAGCTCAGTGCCCTCATTAAATCTTCAGTATGGGTGGGGGGTGGCTAGACTTCTAGCCAGAGAGAATGTTTTCTGCAACTTAATCCTGTATTATTAGGAACCCACACTATGTGTGACCCAAGAAACATCCACACCCTAGACTGATCCGAGGCATTTCCGTATTTGGCTGTGACCCAAGGAGTGTCTGCACCCCAGTCCGTGTGGCCCAGGAATGTACATTCTTGAGTCAGAAGCAGTGTCCAATCCGTTTTGGAATTCCTGTTTAAACTGCAGTGTGTGGTTACAGGTGTATCTATATTTCAGTTTCTGGCCACAAGAATGACCACACCTATGTGTGACTCCAGAAATGTCCATTCCACACTCATGAGTCTAGGATAGAGTCCACACCACAGTGATTTAACCCAGGAGATTACTCAAGACAGTGTGACCACAGGAATGTCCACACACCAGTCTGTCTGGCCCCAGAATATGAACAACCTAGAATAACGGCAGAAGTGTCCACACAAAAGGTTTGTATGACCACAGGCATAGCCATACCCATTGTAGTGTGAATTCTGCCTGCAAGAGCCTGTGAGACCCACAAGAGTCACCACATCAGGCTTTGTGAGCCCAGTAACAGCGATGACTTAGTCTGTGGCTGCAAGAGTTTCCATAGCCCAGTTTTACTGGTGCCACGAGTGTGCATACTTCAAACTGTGACTAAAGAAAGTTTCCACATTCCAGTCTGGGTGAACTCGGGAGTATACAGCTCAGTCTGGTGTTCTGAGAATGGATTTGCCCTGGTCTGGCCACCTCTGAAGTGTTTGTACTCCAGTCCCTGTGACCCCCAGTAGTGTCCTTTTGTAAGTCAGTGTGATCCCAAGATGGGTATGACTGGAAGAAGTGATCCAGGCAAAGGAGGAAATCTATGCCAAGGCCAAGCTTGAGGCAGGAACTTGGCAGGCATATTTGAGGAATAGCAAGATCAGTGGGCTGGAGGAGAGTGAGCAAGAGAGCCATTAATAGGAGGGTGGGGTAAGAGAGGACCTGTAAGGCTTCATGGGTCATGAAGAGGACTTCAGATTTTTCTCTGAGAGACAGGAATCACTCAAGGAGGGACTCTGCAGAGTAAGGCCATAGCTGACTTAGGTTGTAACACAATCCTTTTGGCTGCTGTGGTGATGGTTACCTGACAGTTTCTGAGAACTCTAAAAAGATGAAAATCATTATACATAAATTGTAACTCTAAATTTAGACATGCTTTTTAAAGTGCAACACTTTGCAAGGAATGAAGAGTTCTGTGGCTAAGAGAGGTTTAGAGAAGAGCAGCGGCACAAGCCTGTAATCCCAGCTACTCTGGAGGCTGAGGCAGCAGGATTGCAAGTTCAAGTCAGCCTGGATAATTTGGTGAGACCCTGTCTCAACATTAAAAAAAAATTTAAAAAGTGGCTGGGGATGTAAATCAATGATAAAGAATGTACCTGGGTCGTTTCCCAGTAACATCAAAAAATTATATGGGGGCTGGGGCTGTAGCTCAGCGGCAGAGCGCTTGCCTAGCATGCATGAGGCACTGGGTTCGATCCTCAGCACCACATAAAAATAAACAAAATAAAGGCATGCGGTCCATCTACAACTGCAAATACACACACACACACACACACACACATCCAAAACAAAAAAGAGTTACTTGTCTATGAGGTAAAGGCTGTTGAGATCATGCCTACTATTCCTGCTCTCCTCCTGTGCTTTCTGCACTGACATGTCCAGGAATGTGCCCGAGGAGGAAGGGGAGCCCTGGCCTCCCTACAGCTGCTTAAAGTAGCACTTCGTTTATTGTCTGTTATACACTAAATTGTGGCTTCAACAAATTCAAATAGTGAAGTTTAGTCCCCAGTGTGACTATACAGTCACTCTAGATATCCATGAAGAACTGGTTACAGGACCCCACTACCACCACCCAAATCCCCAGATGCTTAAGCCCTCATATTAAATGGCATAGTATTTGCATATAGCCTACACATATCCTCCCATGTACTTTAAATAATTTCTAGATTACTTATAACACTTACTACGATGATAATGCTATGTAAATGGCTGTTACACTGTATTGTTATTTTTAATATTAATTTTTAGCTATAGGTGGACACAATATCTTTATTTTATTTTTATGTGGTGCTGAGGATCAAACCCAGTGCCTCATGCATGCTAGGCAAGCGCTCTACCTCTGAGCCACAATTCCAGCCCCCACTGTATTGTTATAATGACAAGGGGGTAAGTCTGTACATATTCAATACAGATGCAGTTTTTCTGAATATTTTCTGAAATTGGTTGAATCCACCAATGCAGAATCCACAGATACAGAGGATTGATTATTTGGAGAGCTGGCCTGCAAGGAGATGATTAAAGTGAAATGAAGTCAGAAGTGTGGGGTCCTAATCTGATAGGACTATTGTTGCTGTAAGAAGAAAAATGCAGGGCTGGGATCATGGTAGAGCACTCGCCTAGTATGGGCGGGACCCAGGTTCGATTCTCAGCATCACATAAAAATAAAAGCATTGTGTCGTGTCCATCTACACCTAAAAAATAAATATTAAAAAAAAAGAAGAAAAATGCCAGGCTTGGTAGAACACACCTGTTATCCCAGCAATCCAGGAGGTTGAGAGAGATCAAACTTGGCAATTTACCATGACCCTATCTCAAAATTAAAGGGGCTGGGGAGGGCTGGGGATGTGGCTCAAGCGGTAGCGCGCTCGCCTGGCATGTATGCAGCCCGGTTTCAATCTTCAGCACCACATACAAACAAAGATGTTGTGTCTGCTGAAAACTAAAAAATAAATTTTAAAATGCTAAAAAAAAGTAAAAATAAAAATAAATGGGCTGGGGATGTAGTTCTTTGGTAAAGCACCCCTGGGTTCAATCACCAGTACCACCAAAAAAAAAAAAAAAGAAGGAGGAGGAGGAAGAGGAGAAGGAGAAGAAGGAGGAGGAGAAGAAGAAACACCAGAGCCTCCACCATCTGTACCCACACAGAGCAAAGGCCACATGAGGACAGATTGAGAAGGTAGCTATCTACAACTCAGGAAGAGAGATCTCACCAGAAACCAACTTCACTGGTATTTTGACCTTGGATGTCCAAACTTCAGAACTGTGAGAACATAAATGTGTATCGTTCAAGCCCCCCAGCCTATGGGGTTTCGTTATTGTGCCAAAGCAACTGATATATGACCTGTCATTTTCAGGGATGATATCAGGAGACTCATCTTGACAATGTGTGAGAGGAGCAGGCAGTTAAATGAAGGAAGGAAAATTTGGCACAGCCCTCCTCATCTAGTAGAAGGAGGCTCTGAAGCTGAGAGAACTGGTTGAACAGCTCAGGGAAAGCCAGAGATGATATTCATGGGTCCTGAGGGCTGTGCCCATGGAACATCCTCAGCTATATTGCAGGTTGAGTAATAATTACCTGGAGAGATTTCAGAACTGCCCACAGTCATCTTCTACTGCTCCACCCAAACCTGGTCTTGCCAGGTTATTTTCCCACACAACACATGCTGTTTTAAAGCCCTCAGGCCTTGGATCAGAAAAGTAGGCCCAATGGTATCATCTCAGGCCTAGTGGTAGCCCAAGGGGAGTAGTAAACATCTAAGTCTCTCTAGAAGACCACATAGGGGCTGAGAAAGCTGAGAGGAATCATGGGCCTTGCTTGTGCCTCGCCAGAAAGTTCTGCCAGATGGAGGAGCTGGGAGCCATTATTAGCCAGGCAGTGTTGGTGGATGAAAGCCAAAGAGGATAACTGGTTGTGTGTGCCTGCACAAAAGTGTGTGTACATACATGTGTGCATCCCAGTGCTGAGGGCATCTCTTACTGAGACCCCTGCCTCAGTCCCAAGTAGCTGCAACTGCAGGCACGAGCCACCATGCCTGGCTAGAGTTTGGGTCTTTCTGATTTCCAAGTAATTTTGATTGTCTCAGTGGCCCTTTCTGAAAATCCAACCCATGTCTGTCTGTTCCTTGATCTATTTGAATTGGCGCTGCTATACCTTGTTCTTGTTTTCCTAATCTTTCTTCTTTCCTGATACCTTGTCTAGCCCTAGTAGTGGGCGCATTAGGATTGATGTTATTTGTTAACATCAAACCTAGTTGATCTAGGACATCTCGTCCCCATAAATTAATAGGAAGGTGATCCAAAACATATGGCTGTATAGTTCACATCCTTCAGGATCCTTCCAATCTAATACCATAGCACTTCTATGGGGATTAGTCGCCACTCCTAGGCCTCGAAGCGTTTGAGTGGCTTGTTGTAATGGCCAATG